GAGATGAAGTATGTAAAGCATCAGTATTAAACTTAGGGCATTTCGGGAGCTTAATAAGTATTGGTTTCCCTTTTCCAGCCCGCAGCAGTAATGGGAGGAGACTACGGCAAGCCCAAATGAACACTCGTTTTTAAAGGGAGCTTCAATTGAGTTCATTATGAACTGGGAACAATGAGATGAGAGTTCAAAGGAGCAGATGATGCCTCACTGTGATATGCATTGCATAAGGGCACATATTGCTCTAGGTGGCTCTGAAGAAAAAGACATGGCTTACAAACCCCATTACAGCTCTAAACTCTGTCCAGCTCTCAGTGCTATAAGAGGAGCATGTGTAACTGCATGTCTGTCTTTTTTTTTTTTTAATATATTTTTAATGATTTCAGAGAAGAAGGGAGAGAAAGAGAGAGATAGAAACATCAGTGATGAAAGAGAATCATTGATTGGTTGCCTCCTGCGCGCCCCACTCTGAGGATCGAACCAGCAACCCAGGCATGTGCCCTGACTGGGAATCCAACCATAACCTCCTGGTTCATAGGTTGAAACTCAACCACTGAGCCACACTGGCCTAGCTACATGTCTATCTTTAAAGATATAACCAGTATAATTGACAAGAAATCACTACTATAAATCTGTTTTGTTACACGGTTTAATCCATTTTACATAAAATTTCAGCACATTGAAAGTATAGGTGTGGCCTTGATCACCTACACAGATATACAGCTATAATACAAACCATTCTTTTTTATAAAATGGCTAACTTTATCCAGTGAACAATTAATACATAAAGGCTAATTTTCTTACTAGCAACATGAAGATGGGGTTATTGATGCTTTGTCTGATGATATATGGTTGCAAGAGTATTTGCATTCCATCATAATCTGACATCGCTTCTGAAGCCATTAGGCAAAATATTTCTTAGAATAACTACTGCTAAGTCCCATAAAGCCAGAAAAATAAGATAACATGTAATAGAGGAATGAAAGTATGAGTCCTCAGAAAATAAATTCTTAAGGCTAGCTTAACTTTCATTCTGGACTAGAATGTGGCTTGCAGACCCAGTCTCTAAGATATCTATAATAATAAAAGTGTAGCCCTAACTGGTTTGGCTCAGTGGATAGAGCATCAGCCTGAAAACTGAAGGGTCCCAGGTTCGATTCCAGTCAAGGGAATGTATCTTGGTTGCTGATCGATATTTCTCTCTCATCAATGTTTCTAATTCTCTATCCCTCTCCCTTCCTCCCCCCCCCCTCTCTCTCTGTCTCTCTGTCTGTCTCTCTCTCTCTCTCTCTTTCTCTCTCTCTCTCTCTCTCTCTCTCTCTCAAAAAAAAAAAAAAAAAACACCAAAAATCAATAAAATATATTTTTTTAAAAATAATAATAAAAGTGTAATATGCTCGTTAGACCGGACAACCTTGTGTACATTAACCTGGGTCCTGGGTGCCTAGAGGGAAGCCGGTGCAAACAGCCAGGTGAAGGAAGGCCTACTCTTGTACGAATTTCATGCAATTGGGCTTCTGGTAGATAAGATAAAAGAAAAGAGCCAGGTTGAAGATAGTAGACATTGGTAGGAAGACTAGTCTTTGAAGTAAGACAGACCTTGATCATCATCTATTAGCCATGATTCCTTATCTCTATGGAGCAGAACAATAAAACCTATCTTTTGCCTAGCTGGCATGGCTCAGTAGTTGAGCATCAACCTATGAACCAGGAGGTCATGGTTAATTCCCAGTTGTGGGCTCAATCTCCAGTGTGGGGCATGCAGGAGACAGCCAATCAATGATCCTTTCCCATCATTGGTGTTTCTCTCTTTCTCTCTCTCTCTCTTTCTCTCTTTCTCTTTTTCTCTCTCTCTCTTTTTCTCTCTCCCTTCTCCCTTTCTCTTTGAAATCAATTTTAAAAGTATTTTTAAAACACAGCTACCTTTCCATTTTATTTGATGTATTGAGCTATTTATAGCACCTGTCACAAAAATTGAAAATAAACTCAAGTGCCAGATTTTGCAGATTAGTAGTGGCTTTCTGGAGTTCTCAGTTGAAAAGGATCCTAACCTAAGACCATGTCTAGGGTCACTGGGAAAGAATGCTGTAATTGATTAGTGGTCTCTACTCTAGGCAGAAAGTAGAATAAATAAAAGTCTGTATCAGTATATTTACTATGCAAGTTTCTCTCAGTTATAACTATTATGGTTATTGTTGCTATTGTGACAATGGTAGTTTTATATTTATTTTCACATTTCTTCATCCTCCAAACCAAATGGAATAAATTAACTGCTTTGGTAACACTGGCTGTGTATATCACTTTTACTGATGTAAGATGAACTTTTGTTTATTATCTGCAGAGAAAAGCTAAAAAATGAAACCAAATTTGCTTTTCCTAATTTTATTATATAAAATGCCCACTTTAAAAAAATGATCCATGTACTAACAATAGATTGGAAGTTGGAGAGGAAAAGACAATGTTGAGATGTAGTTCCAAGTTATGACAGAGGTGTACAGTATCCATATCTTCTTTAAAATATCCGCACGAGGAAGAAGGGACAGCTTGTCTTGCTCTTAGATGGTCCATGACTTTCTGGGGTTTTTTCCTATTTTTTTCCTCTGAGGCCAGATTTCTTTTCTGAGTAAATAGTCATGTTCCTGTCAACCATAAGAGATTTTCTGAATTCTAAACAGCTGATTTTTATTCTTGCCCCAATCCCTCTCTTTTGAGAACTGAAATCTGATTAAACCCATATTTTAAATTTTATGTATTTATAGATATATAGAATAGTTTGCAGTCTGTGTATGTTTTCTTTCTCCACCACAAATGTAGGAAAGTGGTGGGTTTTGTGTTTCTTTAAAAAGTGCCTTCATCAGCTTCCTTTTTTTTTTTTTTTTCCCTTTATTACTGATGACTTCTTTCTGCTTGAATTCAATGCTTCAGTTTCTCTGGGAAAACTAATAGATTATGTATGTGATGTTTGCAATGTGTTGATTAATCTTATCTGATAAGTTTGAATGCAGCTCATGGTTTCACGTAATCAGCAGACACTGCACATTGAATACGGGTATCATAGTCAGCAGCTCATACTCAGGAGTGAGGCCCGCTGTTCCAGAGAGCTGCCCGTAGTTCAGAAAAGCATATCAGGCCTTCCAACTTTTTTTCCAAGTGCTCAAGGAAAACTTCTATTAAAAAAAAAAAGCATGGTATAGAAACAGAACTATTTGAGAGTTTTAAAATACACATTGACAAAATATAAAGGTATGCGATCTATAAAGGTTTGTATTTTCTTAAAGGCATCAGCTACTCAGTGTACAGGGTACAGAGAAAGCCTAGAACCAGCTACTAACTTTGTAGAGAGGTTGTAAGATATCAACACGTGGCCCTGCTTTTAATTAACTTACAGTCTAGTTTGGGAAGAATATTTTCCCTCCAGAAGATGTTCAATTGTAAGTGTTTTAAGAAAATAGTAGGTCACCTCCTTCTATTGCTTTCAGAGATCTTATTTTATACCTTACTTAAACTTAAAACTCAATTGTAATGTTGGAGGATGGTTTGGGCATGTAAAGCTCTTCTCAACCTTTCTCAGTCACACCTGTCTCTCTTTCCTGCTCCACCCCTATGCTCTGCCTACGAGAGCAGTGATTCCTACAGACTCATGAAAGAAGTGTCATTATGGTTGTTACAAATTGAGTTGAAATACCAAATTTTGCAAGGCATATGCTTTTCTCACTAAAGTAAATTTAAAATATCCAGACCACCAATACACATTCTTTTATTCTACTGTGCTTCCTACATAAGAGAAGAAAGAGAGCAAATACCACCTGATATGTGCATGAGCAGGACAAATGAAGCTGAGACCACTGCTTGCCCAGATAACTTACTCACATTCCCCAAAGCAAGATGCTTTCTCATTTCTGTCCTTTACACCGCCCTTTTCTCTATCCAGAATTTCCTCATCTCACCCAACTGTTGAATATCTGGGCATCCTTCAAGATTCAGCCAAGGTGTCACCTTTATGGAGCCTTCTGTGACCTTCCTCTGAGGTCCTGCGCTCACCTTGTCTAAGTTTAAGCAGTCTGTTTCCTTGCTGTGCAGACCTCTGTTATAGCACCTGTCACAGTGGGTTGTAGTCTTTATCACTGTCAGCCCCCTAACTCCCAGACTGGGTGCCTTTTGCAAACCAGGACTGTGAATTGTCCATTTTTACTTTTCCAGATCTTAACTGAGGTCTGACACAATAGGGCTCTCAGGTATACCTCAGATGAACCAAAGAAGTTGAACAGCTGTAAGTTCTGCCTATCATTCCTTTCTTGTTTCCTAGCCCTGAATTATATCTCATAATGCTGGTTCTATTGAAATGATGGGGACAAATACTTGCTAAAAGGGAGCCACTGGCTGACCAGTTTGGGATTGAGTGGATGGGTCACTGGAGAATCTATAATTCCTGAGAGGAAGAAGTGGCTGAAGTAGAGAGAGAACCTTGGACTGGTAAACAAATGGACACATTCTACTATCACCCGCTTTCTCTTTTTCTTTTTTGCTTTCTGACATGGCTTCCACATTAACATGTCCATGTACCTCATCCACCCACACTCTAAAAATGTATGAGTCTCATGCAAACTCTGTGTCACATCCAATCTTCAGGTCAAGCAACTGGTCTCAAATAGTTGAGAAAGTGAGATACCCACATGAAAATGTAACCAAATTTTGTGGGTATGACTATAAGAAAAATGTGATGGTTCTTTTAATTACTGTAAAGGTCAGAACCTTTTCTTACCTTCTCATCAAAGGGCACTTATTAAGCTCAAGTCAGATGTTCTGACCCTTGAAGCTAAAGGTATACATGTTAGGACTGGTTTTTGTTCATTGTTATTACTGATTTCACGGTTTTCCTAGCATAGTTGACTGACATTATTGAATTTTCCAAATGCAGATGTCAACCCCTTTAACAAGAAGATCAAAAAGTGAGCTTCCAGGGTGACATGCACTGTGTGACTGTGTTTATTTGTGTTCCGTAGCGGCTATCCCATGAGTGGAGGTGCTGATCGCATCCAGAAGTTGCGGAAGGAGTATTATCAGGCTCGAAGGGAAGGTTTCACATTATATGAGGACGACGAAGGAAGAGCAAGGCCGTCTGATTATGACCTTCACTGGGTAAGCTCATGCCTAACTCCAATTATTGCATTTATCTTTACTGAGATAATTTAGAGCAGAAGAACGTGGCCAAGACTGTTCTATATATATCGTTATATTTGGGTTACCCCAACCACAGCCATCCTCTCCCACAGAAGTTATTCACATAAATCAAACCACACTAATGCACAGTAGTTTGTTTTAATTACTCTCATATTTACTCCCTGTTGGACTTGTATACCAACTTGGTGGGGAGCAGATGTTTGCTGTTTTAAAAAGGACAAGGAATCTTTGTCATCATCTACTGAACCCTAATCCTTGGCCTTCATCTTGGGTCTCAGACATCTGGGCAAACACTAATGGAACATGCAATGTAAGTCATTGAGCCTTTGAAAAGTGATTATTAGAGTACATTTCAGAAGGGTTGTCTTCAGCTATATCAATTGTTTGTACATTATACCTGAACAAGTCAGATTTTGCTGATCTTACCAGACTCCAGGATCATTTTATTTTGAGGCAAGGGCAATTTTTATATTAAAGGATTCTCTTTACCAAGCCTTCAACATTTGGGAACAGGACAGAACATTGTGACCTCTAGAGAGGTAATCTTTGTGTTGTTTTTTTCAGGATAGTGATTCATTCTCCTATCTTGTTCAAGAAGGCAAAGCCGTACTTACAAAATGCATTTGATTCTTGAGCATCCACAAAAATGCCCCAGAAGAGGGTACTTAGAGTTTGATTAAAAGTACATGTTGCCTTGGCCAGTGCGGCTCAGTTGTGTATTGTCCAGTGTACCAAATGGTTGCTGGTTCAATTTCCAAACAGGGCACATGCCTGGGTTGTGGCCTCAATCCCAGGTATGGGCATGCAGGAAGCAGCCATTTGATGTTTCACTCTCATATTGATGTTTTACCCTCTTTTGCTCTCTCCCTCTCCCTTCCTTTCTCTCTAAAAATCAATTTAAAAAAAAAAGTATATGTCACATACTTAAAATAGTGCCAGAGACTGGATTTTGATGTTCAATGAACATTAGCTCTCATTGCTAACATCATTACTGGAGCAGAGCTGTGTGCAGTAATAGTGATGGCCTGTTCGTGAGTCAGCTCTCACTCACCCTCTTTGATGACCACTGCCTTCTGCTACAGCCCTTAATGCTTTCTTGAGAACCACATAAGGAACTCTCATATTCTTGGTGGCCACTAAAGACACCAGATCTTTTGAAGGGCAAACCTGTTTTAGAAAAGTTTTCTGATGTTCACACTCCTATTTATGCTCACAAGGTCAGGGTTGGAAGAGCAGAGTCTGGTGACTGAGCTAATTCCCTCTAGTGTTCACTTCAGTGCTGTGGCTTCCTGGCTGTGGCCCTCAGCACTCTCCCACTGCTGTTTAAGAGTCTGTCTCAGCATTCAGCACTATTATGCAGAACATGTAAAACTCCCTCAGCACCAGTAGGTTCTTCCACATACAATAGACTTTAAAAACACTCATCAGAAAGGCATAGTAAGGATTGGCAGCCTTCTACCAAAGGGCTTCAGCCTCTTCCAGAGATAGATGTCTTATGGTTATTGGTCAGAACAAACAGCTATTTGTTGGTTTTATTATAGACATTTGAATTAAACAGAATGATAGCAGTGATGAGGTAACTGGTCACTGATATTCTAGTAGCAGAAGAAAATAATTCTATAGAATAACATTGGAGATAACAATTCACTATTTCTAACTTGAGATCGACTTACTGACTTTGATGAGAACTTCTGCTCCCTCAGTCAAACAAACAAGCAATAAAATAAAGGGAAATATGTAACACCTTAATAAAGAAATTTTAAAATAAATAAATAAATAAATAAATAAATAAATAAATAAAATAAAATAAAATAAAGGGGAATAGTTTCCCCAAACCCAAAAGGGAATACCATTCCCAATACATTGAAAAGTCCTCCATCTCAAAACCACTATGAGCAACAGAACACAAGTAATTTTAGAATAAGCAATACTTTTTTTTTTTTACCTGATTTTATTTTATCTCTTCATTGGAAGCTGAAAGAATGAAAATACTTAACTTTCACAAGACTTAAAGTGTTCTCTGACCTTCATCAAACCTGAATTAGATATCTCCATACTTGGGTCCTTCCTTCCTTAATGATTCTATTTTTTATGCCAAGTGAAAGTGTAACTAGAAACACAGCTAGTGAGTAAAGAAGTGTCTCTATTTTAATTTGTGTTTCCCATGCTCAGATGTGTTGAGCGTTGCCAAAAGTGCCTGATTTTATGCTTCCCAGACAATTGGCAACAAGGGCTTCCCAACGGGATGCTTGGTAAATGCTGTGTCATAAAAGACGAGAGCCCTTTGTCATTGCCTGAGATACTCACACCAGGGATTAGCATCTCAGTGTCCTTTTCTGTCCTCTCCCAAGCCAAGGAAAAACACTAGTATCTTTTGTCCAGCACAGGCCTGAGAAATTGCACCATTGCTTGCTACTTTTGGAGAGATCTAGGAAAGCAAGTTTAGAAGGTTAACATTTCATTTCTATTAGTCCGCCAGACTCAACAACGCAGCTTTTATGAATGAGACTGTGGCTCCTGAACCGTGCTGGTCTTCAGCATCATTTGTTAAAATCTGATCCATAGTCCACTCAGGGGAGGAGTGGGGCCCCAAGAGAGGGCCCCAGGTGCTTCTCCAGGTTGACATCAAGATTTCTGACCCACAATTCTAAAATTATAGCCTTAATTCCAGTCGATTCAGTATGCACCAACGTAGATCATCCCATGGACATGTCATCAAAAAACACGTTCATGAACTCAGAACACCCCCAAGTCCCATCAAGAGGCCTAACAAATATCCCAGTCACGTGATACTGGCGAACTTCTGAACTGTTGAGAAGGAAATTAGGAAGATAAGTTACCTAATAACTACATTAAAACTAGTTTTAAAATAGGTCTGAAAAAGTGTGTGTGTTCACACAAGCCTTCAAAGCCAAAGTGATGAAAGCAATTACTTGATTACGATCTATGATTATTTTTTTAAAAGAAAATATATTTTTGTCCATGAGACTAACCAAATTTCTTTGGCTGTGTCCTGGGACTTTCTGGATCTTTCCTGGCCATCTTCTTGGTTGTTCTCTTCACTATCACACCTGCCCACTGGCCCAAAGCTGAAGACTTCTCCCACTGTTCTCTCAGATTCTCCCTTGCTCTGGCATCCTTCTATTTCCCCTCTCTTTACTCTGTGTCTCCCACTCAGTTTTAACAAATATGTACTCAGACTTAGTGTAGGCCAAGTGCTGGTAACAAGAATTTAAAACTACCTTACCTTGGAGGAGCTTACAATCCAGGCATGAATAATAATACAGACATCTAAGCCCAAACAGGACATAGACAATAATCTAGGTGAGGAATGCTATTGATAGAGAGGTATTAGCTTCCACACGAGCATAGAGAAATAGCAGTGCACTCTGTTGGGGCGGGGAAGGCTCTAGAGACCATCTGAGAGTGGCCTCAGCAGACATACTTTGTTCTTTTTCTCTCAAATTCAGTGTGGTGTGTTTTTTCCCCCCAAAGGGGCTCCTGATTTATTCCCTTTACTTGTGTTAAAATCAGTGAATACACACAGATTGCAAGATTTGTAAATATGGACATGAGACCTTAAAAATCTTTTCAGCCAGTCTGTTGTGGAGCTGTTTTCCCATCTAGGCTCTGAAAAGCTGTAAAGAGCAAATTGGGAGCATTTCAATGGCTGCGAGTGAAAAGGCCTGGTGAGTTTGTATGGGTCCAATTAAGGAAGCAAGATATGCTAGCTGCGAAGTGTTAAAATTTGCCAAAAGAAAACATAATACCTGTTATCTGCTGGCATTTTATTTTCTGTAAAACTTGTTAAGACTGTCACAGTCCTCTGGCAGTAAACTGCTATGTTTTATTTTTTTGTGATGTTTCTTTTTTATTAGTAGATAAAGATTATCTGCTTATTTAATAGCAACATGAATATCCTGTAAGTAATTTCAGGAAGGAGATGGCTCTAGAGTTTTCTAAAAAATATTAGTACCTTTATTACTATCTTTTTTAAAGAGCTGCATGGAATATATCATACCTCCTCCCAGCTTTTTTTTTTTTTTAAACTCTGACTAAATTAGAAAAATTTTTATCTAAAAAAGGAGTTTGTAGACACATGGGTAGGACAGAGGTCTGCTACTTTCCACTGTCTTAAAAGACATGATGATTTATCTTTCTGGCAAAGGGGATGGATTCAGGAAGGTGATGGTTGGGTGAGTAAATGAAAACATTCTGAAAGATTTCCTCACCTTGTTATGAAGATGGTCTAGGGACATACTTGGCAGCTGTCTGGACGCCGAAAGAAGCATGCGGTGAATTCTGTAGTCAGAAGAAAGGGAGAAGAAGATGCTGAGGTCATGCTAAACATCTTGCAAAAGGGACCTAAGATGGAATGTGTACTAGCCACACAAGGATAAAAACCATCAGAATGCAGTTTTCTAAAAATTAAGAGAAATCCACTCCTGCTATCAGTGGGCCAACATAAGCCTTGAGAAGGCCTTTCCCTTCAGGTGTTTTCCTGTTTACCATCAGAAAGAACAGATCTATTTGTCACCTAGATAAAAAGAAGAAGAAGTATTGTCTCCTGGCCTAGGGACTTTGAGCTACCCCAGGACCCACCTGGCTTCATGAGTTGTTCCTGAGAAGTTATCAGGCCTTAGGCTACTTATTTAGATAGACAAATGAGAGTCTGATTTGCCCCAGAGCTGGGAATTTGCTCCAGAAAAAGGAGGTAGAATTTTTTTGATAGGACTAAAAGTGACTCTACTAATATCCCCTTGGATCATTTTTTGTGACAAGATCATGTTCTATACTAGTGCCCCAGTGCACAGATTTGTGCACATTGAAAGGAAATTAATTAGAAGGTGGCCAGCAAGGCAGCACTGGATGAAATGGGTCAGACACACTCTGGAGCCAATCTCCCGCAGTCCCTCCCTGGCCAGCCACACCTGGAGCAGCACCACGGCTCCAAGGGC